AGGATAAAATTTACCTAAGTAGCATGAACATACATATAGCAACAAAAATAGCAATTACAATTTATTGAAGATCTCCTATATGCTTAATATTTTACTTATATTATCTCACAACAACTTTGCAAAGTTGATACTATCTTCTCTCATTTTAGAAATGAGGGCACTAAGACCCAAAGTAGTATAGTTCATTAAGGGATTAACCATATATTCAGAGCTATCTTCTTTCCCCTACATCAAACTGCTTTCTAAAACCTAAGTAGAGGGTAGCCCTCGTGGCTCAGCAGTTTGGTGCCGCGTGCAGCCTGGGGTGTGATCCTGGAGACCCAGGATCGAGTCCCATGTCGGGCTCCCTGCATGGAGCCTGCTTCTCCCTCTGCCTGTTTCTCTGCCTCTCAGTTTCTCTCTCTCTACACACTGAGCACAAAGATCTTGATTTCTAAACATTCCAAGTACCACTCTCCAGTTAAAGGAACCAGGACTCCTTACAGAAATTGCTGAATCTAGGGCTAAAGCAAAGAAAATACAACATGAACCTGAAGTATCTTGTGATGCTAGAAAATAAAGAATGTCCAAAAATGATGAAAGCACATAGAAAGGAACTTGAAGGAGTTCCTAAAAGCCAAATCTGGTTAAAGACTCCTAACTCTGGGAAACGAACTAGGGGTGGTGGAAGGGGAGGAGGGCGGGGGGTGGGGGTGACTGGGTTACGGGCACTGAGGGGGGCACTTGACGGGATGAGCACTGGGTGTTATTCTGTATGTTGGTAAATTGAACACCAATAAAAAATAAATTTATTATAAAAAAAGCCAAATCTGGGACAATTTGATCAACAAAATTAATAATAAGCATGATGAATTACAACTCACAGAAATATCCATGAGCTCATACTGATATAAATAATTGAATAAATAAATAGAGAAGTAACAGCTCTTCCTTACAGTAGAATTCTAAGCAATAAATATAGTAGTCATGATGGAAATAGAAAATCATCATTATATAAACACCACAGTAATGATTGCAGTCAAGAACCATCAATAGAATTACCACATAATGCAGTAATCTCACTTCTGGGTATACATCGAAAAGAATTCAAAGCAGGACCTTGAAGAGATATTTGCATACTGCATCGCTCCAGCATTATTAACAATAGCCAAGATGTGGAAGCAATCCAAATGTCCATCAAAGTAGATAAAGCAAATGTGACATATATACATAATGGAATATTATACAGCCTTAAAAATGTGAAATCCTGGGATCCCTGGGTGGCGCAGCAGTTTAGCGCCTGCCTTTGGCCCAGGGTGCGATCCTGGAGACCTGGGATCGAATCCCACGTCGGGCTCCCAGTGCATGGAGCCTGCTTCTCCCTCTGCCTATGTCTCTGCCTCTCTCTCTCTCTGACTATCATAAAAAAAATTTTTTTAAATAAATAAAGAAAGAAAGAAAGAAAATAAATAAAATACAAAAATTTGAAATCCTATCACATGCTACAACATGGATGAACCTTAAGGACAGTATGCTAAGCAACATAATGGACAAATACTTTATGATTCTACTCATATGTAGTATCTAAAATAGTCTAAATCATAGAAACATAAAGTAGAAATGTGGTTGCTAGGGGTGGGTGGGTGAATTGGTATTAAATAGGTATAGAATTTCAGGTTAGCAAGATGAAAAAGTTCTAGAGATCTATCATACAACAATGTGAATATACTTTACACTATCAAACTATATACTTAAAAATGGTTAAGATGGTAAACTTAATGTTATGTGGGTTTTTTTAACCACAACTTTTAAAACAATTAATTAATATCCTAAAAAAAGAACCACTGATGGATGTTAAAAGCAGTGAGCAAAAGTATGATGAGAATAAGGATATCTGCATAGTCTCTAAGTATCTTCTCACAAGGTACTTATTAATTACAAAGGGGAAAACTGTAACATTATAGTAGGGAAACCTGACAGACACCAACTTAATAATCAAGTGATCAAAGTTAACATCACCAGTAACAAGACATATTGGCATCATACATCCCCTATAATTATGCACTGAGAAGGGAACATCGCTTTTGCCAAAAGTGTATAACCTAATTATAGGAAAATATTAGACAAACTCAAATTGAAGAACACAAAAAAAGGACATAAGTGGGAAAAAGTCTGGTAAAATTGTACTAAGTTACATAGATTAGTTAATAGTATTATATCAATGTTAATTTCCTGGTTTCAATAATCACACTATGGTTATAGAAGATACTAACATTAGAGAAAGCTAGACGAAGGGTATATGGGAACCCTACCATTTTTACAACTTTTCTGTAAATGTAAATTATTTCAAAATTTTTAAAAATGTTTTTAAAGCAGACCCATCAAAGTATGACAGAACTTCAAAAGGTTATTTAGGAAAGACAGAGGTGAGAATACAATGTCCCTAGCTTGGGATCCCTGGGTGGCGCAGTGGTTTGGCGCCTGCCTTTGGTTTGGCCCAGGGCGCGATCCTGGAGACCGGGGATCAAATCCTATGTCAGGCTCCCGGTGCATGGAGCCTGCTTCTCCCTCTGCCTATGTCTCTGCCTCACTCTCTCTCTCTCTCTCTCTCTTTCTGTGTGTGACTATCATAAGTAAAAAAAAAAAAAAAAAAAAAACAATGTCCCTAGCTTTTTGAAAATGGTAACAAGGTTATAGCATTGGACATTACCTTTGAGATCATCTGATACTATCATTCAACCAATGAAGAATTCTTTTATGTTATGCGCTTAACAGTCTTCCAACCATTGCCTGAATATTTCTAGTAACAGAAAATTTACTATGTCAAAATGCACAAGACAAAATCAGACAGGGAGACAAACCATAAGAGACTCTTAATCATAGGAAACAAACTGAAAGTCGCTGGAAGGGAAGGGTGTCAGGAGGACAGGGTAACTGAGTGATGAGCACTAAGGAAGGTGTGTGATATAATGAACACTAAGTATTATATAAGACTAATGAATCACTGCGCTCTACATCTGAAACCAATAATACATTATGTTAATTAACTGAATTCAAATAATTTTTTAAAAATACTGCCTACACATTCCATGACCCCACAATTCTAATTACCACAAAGTTCTCCATTCTGAGCTAAATCTGCCTTCTTATCAGACATGTACGTGAGGAAAACCAGAGTTTTCCAACAAGGGGTCTTCAAAGTGGGAAGATGTGCCAACGAGGCACAATATGACAGAATGTCCAGTTTATTTACTTTGGCTAAAATTACATCTTGTCAGCATGAGATAAACCATCCTAAGTTATTTACATGAATGCTTTGCTATAATGCTGTCCCAAAACCTAATACAATATCTAGTACATATTAGGTACTTAAGAAATGTTTATTGATTGAAAGAATGAGGTACAAGTCTGAGATTCACATGAAGAGTTACCCCTCCACCACCTATGCACACAGAAAAACAAATGACTTAGAATTCTATGATAAATCCCATTAAAATTTTCCAATAGACAAAAATTAACAAGAACATACTCCAACTCTGAAAAGAAATAGCTATATGACTACACAAAGTAGAATTCCTCCTCTGTACAGACATATTCTTTATTTATTCAACATATATTTAGCGCCTACTCTGTGCCAGGGTTAATGAGAAGCCCAGGAAGTACAAGCACAAACAAAACATGTCCTCAGAAGGGCAAGGCTTACACATGTTAAAGAGAATTACACTATTTTAAATAGTTCTAGTATATTATATTTATGTGAATAAATTATATAACATAATTTACATTTAAATATTTTAATTGCATCAAATATGAAAAAGAAGTTAATGACTACAGAAGGAATTCATATAAATTGGTAAGAAAAATAAATTTGCACAGATAAATGGAGAAATGATACAAGCATATGATTTTTTCAAACTAGAATATAATTGATAAACATAGAAAAATATTTAATCCTGACAAATAAAGAAATACAAAGCAAAACAAGGTAACATTTTCTAACCAGTTAGTTTAAATTCTTTTTAAAACACCAAATTCAGAGGAGGTAATAATGAAATACTAGTTATATATACACTGCTGGTGGCACTATAAATTAAAACAACCTTATGGAGAGAGAAATTGCTCATATTCATTGACCCAGGGTATACCTTTGGAGAGAGAAATTGCTCATATTCATTGACCCAGGGTATACCTTCCTAAGAATTTATCTTTAATAAATAATTTAAAATTTTAAAAACTATATATCAAGAAAATAGTAACTATTTAAAGCTTATAGTGGCAAAAAAATGGAAATAATTTTAATATCAAACAAAGCTTAAGAGAATAACACGTAGCCATTAAAAAAATTATTTATATAATCTATCTAACATGAATAATGTCTGCTTTAATAAGTGAAAAGGCACCAGAAAATAAAATTCTGTGGATATTTGTTAAGGTATCTAAGGAAAAAATTAGTACACATACACACACACATAAGGACTGGAAAAAAACCAGCAGATGTTTTCACGTTTGAGGTCATGGATGATTTTTATTTCCTTTATTACTAAATTATTTGTATAATTAACAAAAATCAGGAGAAAAAACTCTCAAGGAGGGTCCAAGGTAATGAATCATGTGGTCAATGGTAAACTAGGACTTCAAATAATTGGTCCTTGGATTTTGTGTTCATAAAAAGAAGAAAAAAAGGAAGAAACATTTCTTACCCCAAATAAAAGTGGCACAATGTGGCTACAAAAAGAAAACTGAAGTTAACTCTGAGATGAATATCTGGAAACATTCCCAACAGTAAAAATCATCAGACTGTAGCATGGTATCCTAGGCTAAGTTCCACTGCTGGGGTATTTAGAAGCAACGCCCTAGACACCATACTGTAGGAATCAGTCCTGAGCTGGCACCACAGAGACCCAGAAGTGGTCTCATGAGGTTTTTCCATCACACAATTTGTTTGGCTAATCTATAAATATATGACATTTGCAAATAAACACTAAGGTTTTCATACCAAGCAAAGGAACAACAAACCTTACCTGGAAAGTACCAGACAGAGCCCTGCCCCACTGTCCCTGTGTAGAAGACACAGGTACCAATCGGCTACATACTGGAAACCACTGGGAAATGTTAATCCGGTTCCTCTAGAGAAAGAAAAAAAGTGTCTGTCAAGAATTTATAGCCAATTCCATGTATAGAAGTTTAGAAATCCTGCCAGAACAGGGTACATGAAAGGAGAACTTCCAAAATAGAATCAGGACCAACCCTCCCCATGCTCTTCTCTCTAAGGATAAGATGTATATCCCTGCCTATTCCTGATCTATGAACTCTAGTAATGGTTGATTCAAGCAGGGGGACATGGGCTCCCTCTGAGGAGAGTAACAAAATAAGCAGACTTCAGGCATTTTACAATTAGATTATCATTTAAATAAGAGTTTGCAAGGCCTTTTCAAAAACACTGACCTGTCTGATCTTCACAGAATCCCTTTCTAATAAGCAGTATGGGATCACTATCGTCCTCAAAAGGATGAAAAACAAGGGCTGAAACTTATAGGGTGGGAAAACACAGTAGGGCAATTTAATTTCCAAAACAGGGCAGCCCTGGTGGCGCAGCGGTTTAGCGCCGCCTACAACCCAGGGCGTGATCCTGGAGATCCTGGATCAAGTCCCACGTCAGGAGCCTGCTTCTCCCTCTGCCTGTGTCTCTGCCTCTCTCTGTGTGTGTGTGTCTCTATGAATAAATAAATAAAATCTTTAAAAAAAAATAATTTCCAAAACAAAAGAGGGAGATTAAATGGCTGTTAGAGTTATGACTGAAGTTCAGTTTTCCCCTCTGGTATTTTTTTTTCTAATTTTTATTTATTTATGATAGAGAGAGAGAGAGAGAGAGAGAGAGAGAGAGAGAGACATAGGCAGAGGGAGAAGCAGGCTCCTTGCACCGGGAGCCTGACGTGGGATTCGATTCCGGGTCTCCAGGATCGCACCCTGGGCCAAAGGCAGGCGCTAAACCGCTGCGCCACCCAGGGATCCCTTTCCCCTCTGGTATTAACTGAACTCAGAAAGGTCTTGGCCAAAGTAAAACACTAGGCTGGGGAAAGGAAGAGCTCTACTTTGCTAAATGAGAAGCCTACTTTATTTTACAAACCTTATTGAAATACATTCCATTGTATAATGGCATTCATGTACATAGTACTGGAGATCTCTATTCTATGAACCAGCTCTGAGGGAGCCAAGGGTTTCTTTCACTTGACCTGTAGATCCTAAAGGGCCACAATGAGGACTGGATACACAAATAGCTTAAAAACACCTTGTCAGGGGTACCTGGGTGGCTCAGTAGGTTAAGCATTGGACTCTTGATTTCAGCTCAGGTCATGATCTCAGGGTTGTGAGATCAAGCCCCACTTCAGGTTCTGTGCTGAACACGGAACCTGCCTAAGATTTTCTCCCTCTGCTTCTACCCCCCACCCATTCCCCACCCTCTACTCTCACTCATGTTCACACACGTGCACACATTCTCTCTTTAAAAAAAAAAAATAACAGGGATCCCTGGGTGGTGCAGCAGTTTGGTGCCTGCCTTTGGCCCAGGGCGCGATCCTGGAGACCCGGGATCGAATCCCACATCGGGCTCCCGGTGCATGGAGCCTGCTTCTCCCTCTGCCTGTGTCTCTGCCTGTCTCTCTCTCTCTGTATGTCTATCATAAATAAATAAAAAAATTAAAAAAAAATCATTAAAAAAATAATAACAGCACATAGAGACGCCTGGGTGGCTCAGTGGTTGAGCCTCTGCCTTCAGCTCAGGACATGATCCCAGAATTCCAGGATCAATTCCCTCATTGGGGTCCCTGCACGGAGCCTACTTCTCCCCCTGCCTGTGTCCCTGCCTCTCTCTGTGTCTCTCATGAATAAATAAATAAATATCTAAAAAACAAACAAAAAAAAAACATAAACTACTGTACTAGGAGTCAAAAGATCTGAATTCTAGTTTAAACTCAGCTATTTAAACATGATCTTTACAAATAATTTAACCTCTACAATGCACAGGTTTCTCATATCAATTATTAGTAATACTTATGCACACTTGCTATGTGCTGGGAACTTTTCTAGGTACTTTACATATATAAGCCCATTTAAAACTCACAATCAAGGGACACCTGGGTAGTTCAGTGGTTGAGTGCCTGCAGCTCAGGGTGTAATCCCGAGTCCTGGGACCAAGTCCCACATAGGCTCCCTGTGCCTATATTTCTGCCTCTGTCTCTCATGAATAAATAAATAAAATCTTAAAAAAAAAAAAAAAAAACCCTCACAATCAGCCCCTGGGTGGCTCAGTCAGTTAGGTGTCTATCTTCAGTTAAAGTCAGGATCCCAGAGTCCTAGGATCCATCCCAATATCAGGCTCCCTGCTCAATAGGGAGCCTGTTTCTCCCTCTCCTTTCCCCACTCCCCCTGCTTGTGCTTTCTCATTCTCCCTCTCTCTGTCAAATAAAAAAAAAAAAAAAAAGCTCACAATCACCACCCAATGACTAAGAGTATTGCTATTATCCCATTTATATGGATAAAGAAACTGAAGTATAGATAGGATAAGTAATTTCCCAAAATCACATAGTTAATATAGTGAGAAGGTTAAGATCTAATCCCAGACAGCCCAACTCCAGAATCCAGGCTCATTTACGGGAATATTTCCAAAATCTCTCCTAACACTCTATGATCTAGTCTTGAAACAATTAAAACACAGTATAGTACAATGCAAAGAGCCATGTACTTGGGACTCAGAAAGCACTGGCTCCACTGTGAGCTAAAAGGCTTTGTCATCTCTACTATAAAATAAAGAAAAAATCCCTACTTCTCAAGATTTAAGAAATATCAACAAATGTATCTTGCAGCATGTCCAACTCAATAAATACTAAGTTGAATATGAATCTCCATTTCCTCATGAGTAGACAGGAAGGGATAGGGGTGATGTGGAGAAAGGTGTAGGGATTTTATTTTTTTTTAAGTTTTATTTATTTATTCATTCATGAGAAACAGAGAGAGAGAGAGAGAGAGAGAGAGAGAGAGAGAGGCAGAGACACAGGCAGAGGGAGAAGCAGGCTCCATGCAGGGAGCCCAACGTGGGACTCGATCCTCGGTCTCCAGGATCACGCCCTGGGCTGAAGGCGGCGCTAAACCGCTGAGCCACCCAGGCTGCCCAGGTGTAGGGATTTTAAACCTAGAGATGCTTTCTTTCTTTTTTTTTTTTTTTTTTAAGATTTTATGTATTTATTCATAGACACAGAGAGAGAGGCAGAGACACAGGCAGAGGAAGAGAAGCAGGCTCCATGCAGGGAGCCCGATGCAGGACTCGATCCTAGGTCTCCGGGATCACACCCCAGGCTTCAGGCGGCGCCAAACCGCTGCGCCACCAGGGCTGCCCTAGAGATGCTTTCTAAAGTGTCTCACAGTTTTAAAACTGTATAACTATTTTTAATATACCACTCACAACACCTTATGTTTTAAATGAGAAGCAAAGTTTCAAAATATTTTATTTCAGCTGAGATATGATCTGTTGGGATAATGTTCAAATAAGAGATAGTTACTGGCTTTTTGTTTACTAACACTGAATCATTCAATGTTAGAAGTTCCTTTCCTGGGATCCCTGGGTGGCACAGCGGTTTAGCGCCCGCCTTTGGCCCAGGGCACGATCCTGGAGACCCGGGATCGAGTCCCGCGTTGGGCTCCCGGTGCATGGAGCCTGCTTCTCCCTCTGCTTGTGTCTCTGTCTCTCTCTATATATCTGTGTGACTGTCATAAATAAATAAAAATTTTAAAAAAGTTAAAAAAAAAAAAGAAAAAAAAAGAAGTTCCTTTCCTAAAAATATAAATAGGGATAAGATGAAATTTCTGCATATTCAAGCCCAAGAAAAGTAAAGGGAAATTACAAGTAGGAACAATGCAAACTTTTGAAAGATTTTCTGGAGAATTTCATCATATTTTTCACCACGTCAACATATTTTTCCTCTGTTATTTTGGTTCTACTTGGTTTTATGCCAATATCTTAAATCAGTTCTTATTAGAAGAAAGAAGCAATCAGCTCTGTTCTTTCCTTCTCCAACCCTACAACAATTTTTGTCCAAACCTTTAACTGAAACTGAAGTGCAGCAGAGAGTGTCTAAATCCCAAGACTGTTATTAAATAGCTGTGTAACCCTGAACTAGTTATTCAACATTCTGGACCTCCATTTTCCCTTATATAAAATGGGAATAATAAAAAGGACCTCACAGGAGTATTCCAAGGATCATTTATAAAAGCATCTCAAGAACACTAAAACACATAAAATCATCATTACTGTTATTAACAATTGTTAGTAACAATAGTTGAATTATGTATATAAGCTTCTCTTTTCACAAGCAAACTGTCATAGCAGCAAGAACCATTTTTTAAAAATATTGTTTTGGGGGATCCCTGGGTGGCGCAGCGATTTAGCGCCTGCCTTTGGCCCAGGGCGCGATCCTGGAGACCCGGGATCGAATCCCACGTCGGGCTCCTGGTGCATGGAGCCTGCTTCTCCCTCTGCCTATGTCTCTGCCTCTCTCTCTCTCTCTCTCTCTGTGTGTGACTATCATAAATCAATAAAAATAAAAAATTAAAAATATTGTTTTGAACCTGATAGTCTCTTTCTCAAAAGCTGGTGGTGCCTCCAAGTGCTCCCTTTAGTCAAACTTAAACACCCAATCTTTACCAAATAGACTCCTCTAGACTCAACTTTATTCTTACATACTCTGCCTTGTATTCTCCATTCAGGAGTTCCAAAACTTGACTCAGATCCTCTGGTTTGGGAATTACTGCTCCTCTCCACACAAGCTAATCCCCTTCTAGTCATTTCCTCTGGGAATCTCTTCTTCCCTCTTACCCAACCCATGAGCTCATTACCTTCAAGAAGTGTCCCCAGACTCAGGTACTGGTTCTATGGACTCTACTTGGTTCATTTTCCTCCCCACGTTTCCCATACTTCATTTATAAATATAAACCTGTGAAAGTACTTATCTCCCTCGTTACAGGTACTAACATATTAGGCCTATAACAATTAGCAACCTCAACTCTCAAGTTTAGGAAAACATTTATAGCCACTTCCAATGGTTATTACTGCTTTAACTTAGGATAATATATA